TTACCCAAAAGGGAAATTTGTGCCTTATATGCAAATAAGTGAATTTATGCTAAACAATCATTTAATATTGGGTTTAAAGTAAGTAAATGTTATCATACATGATCCCGTAAAAATCGAACATTTCATAGAGTTTACACATAAATTTCATAATTCACCCCATACTCAGGGAATTAAATCGAATTTCATCATATAATTAAGGGAGCAACAGAAAAACTATTACTCTTCACTATGAGAAAATTACTTGTGTGGATAAAACCCAAAGAGATATCACTCTCGAGTAGGTATAGAAATACAAACACGTGGACTCGCTTCCACGTAATAACATCCGAGAGCTCCGCACCACCGGATCCCCAACTACCATGGTAGTCTCAACGATGTTGGCCGACATCGAAGAAATCAGACGGTCGCAACCACGTATAACAACTTGTGGCCTAGCCACGTAAAATCATAGACCTTGGCTCCAGCCATGTCTAATAGCCCGTCGGTGACCCAAGGGTTCTCTAGCTAGAGCTCACTTGTGCACAAGGGTCACACTTAACCGGAGCGACAACCGGCCTACTCTCGAATCTCTCAATTTAATAAAACCATTTAAAAGTCAAATTGAGTTTTCAAAAGATCATTTCGAACCATTTTCAAAATACCAATCATGGTAATACACTAAAACCTCTTTTTGTATCATCTTGCAATGTAAAACCTTTTCGCATAAGGTTAGATATCTAATTAGCATGGTAAGTATGAAATCATTCATAATTGCACATCACACAATCAATAAGGCACGTTTTTGGACATAAATATGTTGAAAAGCTTGCTTCTCGATTTCTTAAATCCTTTACATATACTTGTATAGATATATATAGTCAACATATTTCAAATGCTTGGGCATCACAAACTCCTAAGATATCTACTAGCTCATGCTTTCCACAAATTGCATTTAAAATAAATCATTTCATGCCTATAAATATACATATAGTTATATACATAATTATGGAATTATTTTTAAGTGGACACCCCCTACTCATCTTATAATAGCGGGATCCTACTTCGCTATCAATTCAAGTGCGTATCCCTTGATTTATGTTTGAATTTCCTAACTACAGTTCACCACCTCTTCACACCTAAGATTTTCTTTGTTACCACAAATATAACCACACCTTAAAATCAATTTTCAAACATACTTTGAATCAAACCAACAAGCTCCACCTCCTTACCTTGGAAATCTTGAGCCAAATCACCAATCTTTATTAAATTCGGCTATGGGGAAGGAAAAGAGAAGAAT